CTTCCTTTACAAAATGTAGTGCACACTATCTGGATGATAATTTGGGACTACATTTTTCATGAAATGTCTCAAATATGAAATTAAACACTTGTGTTGGTCTGACCCTATGCAAAGTGCAGAAGGAACATGCATGGGAATATCATTCACACTCCATCCTCCTTATATTTTAAACAGAACCTGACATACTTGGTACTTGTTCACGTTCTTTTGTGCTTATTTTCATTGCTGTATGAGCACTGGTGATACCAGTGAATAGAAATACGTGTCTGCATTTTGCTTTTTGTTATGTGTGAATCAGCAAAGCAACACCCACTCTGGTCTGATTGCCCAAGCCAATGCTATTCACTCTGGCAGTTCATAGCATCTCAGGATGTTGTCCAGCAGAAACACTGTGAAATGTTAGTAGAAAATGAACCACATCATACAAATCTACCTCCCTAGGCAAATGGTAAATGTGTGCTACTGTTGTTCTCGGAAGTTATGGACAGTCAGTATTCTTGCAGGCAGGGATAGGGCCATGCTAATATTCTTCCTGTTCAGTATTTGAAATTAAAATGTCCTTAATAGGATCAGTTCCATATGATATTAAAGGTATATTTGTATTTAAATGCAAAATGTTCTATTTAGGAAGCCACCCTTATCCGCCAGCCAGTAAAGGAAATTCTGTAGAAAGAAAAAAGGGGGAAAAAATGTACCTCTTCTCTCATGTCTAATAATAACCATCACTAGTAACTTCAGAGGCACTGTAAAATTAAGAGAGGCAAGGTAGTCAGGTGTATCTGTTACAGAAATATATGTTACACTTTTACACATCCAGAAATTAGGGCTAGGAATTCTTCTGCCCTGATACAGATATGTCTGCGGAGCTCTACATCTGACCCAGCTATCCAGTGCTCCCTTGGTTGTCGACGGGCAGAAACAGGCACTTGTGAGGCACAATCTAGCTCACGCAAAAGCAGAAGTCTTCAGTCGGTCAGATGAACCATAGTACTGAAGTGCACGTTACACTCTTCTGGGGAAGGGGGAAAGCAAATTGATTTACCAGCTTAGTTGTAGACATTCACAGTTAGATCAGACAAAGTACATCATAGATTTTGGGGGGGAACGATAACATTGACTACCCTTTTCCAAGATAATAGCTGAACTCCAGTCTCTGTGGCATTCAAGGATTCTTTTTACTGTGGATTTAAATGCGACAAGATTGATATGGCTTGCTGCATTTGGGAAAGAAAGATGTAATTTGAAAGCTCAGTAAATCAGACTTGTCTGCACATATTTAAAATAAATGAGTTTGGTTCATTTTCCAAAGACATCTGTCTAGTGCCATTTTAGACAACCTACATGACCTCCAGTGGCTTCTTTAGAAGGTCACGGCTCTTCCCAATCTCCAATGTCCCTGCCTGCTGGCCCTGTGCCGGTTCCTCTGATGGTGCTGGGTGCTATATTTAATCAGTTGAATCTCAACAAATAATTACAAAATAAGGCCTGTAAGCAATGCTAAAGATACACAATGTTTGTAAGAATAAGTGTCTTAGTTCCCCTGGGGCAATGAGTCTGCAGCTGACAGTGCACTGCAGCATCTGTCTCCAAAGGAAGCCACTGAGTCAAAATGGCCAAGCGTAGAGAAAGATGATAATAAACTGAGACATTGTGTTATTTATGTATGGGAGGAGATCATGATTCGCGCAGCTCATCCTCAACTCATGTTGATCAACTGTTCCTAGCACTTACGAAAATATTCTGTAGACAGTTTTATACTGTGATGAGATGTTGAATGGCTTAAAATACATTCTGATCTGCCAGAAACAAATGTTCAGGAAGGCCCCACCACAAAACTTCGCTCCAAGTCTACACATGCTACATACATTGCAGAAGAACTACTTCAGAAATGGTTTGCTAAATGTGGCAAATGCAAGTGCTGTAGATCTTAAATGGAAATGCTCAGTAACATCCGTTGCTGATGGGTTTAGTGAATGCTCTTGAAGGTGGATAACTGAAAATTATACGGTCTGATGCAAAGAAGCCAAGAAACATACACTTCTATTCTCCTTCCAACCATCGCATAGTCTTTATTATGCAGAATATTAAATTAAATCTGAACAGCATTTATCTCGTAAAATTCAATTTTTCTGAGCGTATGTCAGATAAAGTCCATTCCATCTTCTGTCTTTTAACTGCTTGCTAATGCAGTATCTATTGTGAATTGCATATGGTAGGAAAAAAATGATGGGATACTTGTTTGGATTCAGAGTAAGGCATCCAAAATAAAGTTGAGGAAAATGACCTTAATTCAGCAAAGTGCTTCAGCTTTAAGCATGCAAATAGCCAATGAATCACATGCTTAAAGTAAGACTCATGTATGTACTTCTTGCTAAATTAGGCATAAATTACGTCTATATATCAAATGGCAGCAAAAGCCCAGTAAAAAACCAAAACAAACAAAAAAACCCCACAAAGAAAAGATAACCATGAAAGCTTTGGTTCAGAAGCAATGCTTTCTCAGATGTAATACAGTCCACATAAGGTCTGTTTTGTTTTTACTCAGTCACTTTATTATTTATTGCTCAGTATCAAAAGGAATCAAACTGACATTGATTAAAGGCCATTGTGAGTTGTAGGTAATATTCATATAATTCTTTGAATAGTATGATGCACATAGTAGGGATAAATTGAAATCATAGAGGACTGAAATAGGAGGGAATCACAGTATGATGCAATCATGTAAACAACAGCACATATGTGTAGATTAATACAAATTTCATTTGTCCACTTGACATGCCTGATCAAAAGTAGCAAATATTTTAATTCTAACAAACACTTGAGTTTTTCCTTTGAAGGGTGAATATAAAAAAAATAATCTTATAAAGCAGAGTGGATTAATATGTCTCCACTGCTTTTCCTCTTGATCTTTAAGGCTTATCAGAATCCTCTGTCCTGCCACTGAGTTTATTGGTTACTTAGGAAAATGAGCTGAGCAAATGTTCATTGTTTAAACTGAAAAAAACCCCATTTATAAATTGATGATATTCCCACAGAAGATATGAAATCAGATACTTTTGATCAGCCAGGAGGACATTAATAATTGGTATAGACCATTTATGTTACGAAGGACCACATTTCAGCAGCTGACACCCCTGCAACTTCTTCCTCTGCAATGAAGTGATACGTAAGAGCTGCCAAATGTGTCTCTCAGAGGTTGAAGACTGATCTGCTCTGTGAATTTCTGGTCATGTGTAGAGTTGCACTGGATTTCATAAGGCTTTGAGTAAGATCAGCTATTGAAATCAAGCTATTGAGACCTGGGCTGTGCAACACAGATTCCAACTGCCTTAGCATATGGAAGCAGGACTGGTAGCTTGTTTTTGGAAATAGCGTCAACTTTGCAAAGGCCTATACTAGCTTGGCAGCATGTGAATTCCTTCTTGAAGTATCAGGATTTAGGACATCAATTTGGGGTTAACTGCAATAAAGACTGGCATTCAGTCTCAAGCTGGCCAAATAAGGCATGAATTCAGCAGGGCGCTTTGGGACAGGACTTAGTCTCTACGTCATAATACATGCTAAGCTGTTTAAGTGTATTTGGTGCAATTACATCCAATTAAATACTTGGAAATTAGGTTCCCTGTCTTTCAACATCATAAGGCCTCTGCTCTACAACAGGTTTGGCACTGGCTGACTTGTATAATTTGGTCAAGATCCACAGGTCCCACAGACTGCTCTCCAGGTACCAAAAGGTTCATATGCCCAAAACATATTTGAAGATGGAAGTTTACATGGACAAAACAGACCTGTCTGCACAGTCTCACTGGGATGAAGAACATTTATGGGATGCTCACGGTGGTTTATGCCAAGGAGGACTTCATGTCAGTGTATTTACTGCTGAATCTGCAAAACTTCTATTTAGCAAATGATGAAGACGCCTTTGGTGTGTGAACACAATGCTAAGACACTCAGTGCCTTTCTGTCACGAGTTCTGGATTTTGATAATTACAGACCACTTCTGTGTGCAGTCTGTCCTTTCCTAGCATTTTCAGTCTTCCAGGGGGTTAGTTAACTGTTTTATTTTTTATAAATAGGATTAATATATAAAATCTTTTAAGTGCAATAAACACAGAAAAATATAAAATGTTTCAAGCCTGTGGCTCTCTCCCAGCATTTTGCCCATTTTCTGTATCACCAGGTAAAGGTGCAGGAAACACAGAGGGACGTTTCCAAGCAGGCTTGTGAATTGGAGGACCAGCTATTTTTTGTGAGCTATGAGAGCAGCCATCACACCCGACATATGCTGAGAGCTTTTGTTCGTATACAGAGAAAACAAAGGACACACAAGTTCGCTACTCTTTCATATGGGAAGATTGCACAGAAAGAGAAAGCTGCCGACTTCCAGGGCACAGTGCATTTCTCGGACTGACGTTCACGTGGTCTCTCCAAACTGCTTTGTTATGAGACTAAACACCAGGATTAAACGGTTAAACTGATCAGTTGATACTGGGGACAAAACTGTAGAACCACAGCCACTCTTTACTACAAGCATTGGACTGTAGTACGAGGACAGTTTGAATGGTATTTTTCCCCCCCTCCCCCCTAAATACACACTTCAAACAAGAAAGCAGTCCAACAGTTTTCTAAGACACAAGAACAGAACGCAAGTTTAGTCCTTCAAAACAAGCTGTCTGTCTCCATCAGGGCCATAACAGCCATCTTGCACCAGAAATCAGCCCAGACTTGTTTTTTTTTTCCTTACCTTATTCCTGTTAGTATCCAAGGACCCCTCATTTCCCTAGTGGTTTCTGACTATATTTTCTTTCAAACATTCTACTTTTCTTATTTCTTAGTGTTGCTGTGGCAGTCTAAATGTCTTTTTTCTTCTTGTAGTTGCAGTTTTCTCACTATTTCCCTGAACATCTGCAAGACAGCCCATCTGGGTTGACACAGTGTGAGATGAGGCAGACAGGCATTGCCAACAAAAGGCTCCTACTGCAGCAAGCGGGCTGTTGAAATCAGATGTTTTCTAAGACGTCTATGGGGACAAAGCCTTTCTTCTTCCCGCTGTATACTTTGATAAAGCCGTCGTGTTCCTTTTCAGAAGTCACACAAATCTGAATGCAAAGAAAGTACGAAAATAATAAACTCTTTGCCATGATCAAGCAACAAATTATTCCAGGCTATTTATCAGGTGGATTAGACATCCTGCTAGTTACTTCTGTAAGTAGAACATTCCTTTTAGACTCTCACTGCTTTGATAAGAAACTCAAACTCATATATTTAGAGAGTTACCTTTCCCCCTGCCTCCCTGAAGTGCCACATATACATGAAAGACATTAAAATCATAAAGAACTTTGTGGTGGATCAAAGATTTTGAAACTTGACTTATGACTTCAGCCTACTGTAATGATTGTGATTTAGTTGTCTGTGTGTGAGAGGATTGGGCACTGCAGATCATAAGCTAGCTGGCTCCCTCAACAGTTGGTGGTGAAAGTAATCATGATGCCAAGGTGGGTCACTTGCAGCAGCTGATCTGAATGCAAGCATATTCTCTTTTGCATGTTTAAGGAGTCCAAGTACTTCTCAGATGGGCAGTGGGTTATGTCATTTACTCAGCTCTCGCACCTACAGGTGCCTGTGCCTGTTGTGGATACCAAAATATGTGATCTGAACCCAGCTCTGTAAGTGTGTTTGCGTAACACCTACTCCAGTTGGAGGCAATTACGGTGAAACCATATGGTCTTTACAATAGTACAAGGATTACATCGTGGTAAAGGTTTGCATTTCCTGAAGACCTTTGTGATCTCAGGTATTTCCATTTTAGGGCCCATCCTGACACTTTCGGTAATGGCTGAGCCATTTGAAGGCCTAGTGGCACAGATACTTTAGACTGGGCACGTGAGCACAGAGCCACACAAAATAAAGAATTGTTTTCAAACGTCTGTGCCAAGGAGTTATGTATTTCCTACTAATCCAACAAGGTTAAAATATAGCAATAAAACTGATGGTCCTATTGAAACCAATCTCCTCATTTCTGACGATGTCAGTGCCAGGCCTTTAAAGCCCTCTGTCTGGACTAACAGTCACAAAGGCTCTGTCTGATAGGTATTTACAGTGTTTAATTACAATAATTCAGAAGGTATGAAATGAACAAACATGGCTCGAAAATGTTCCTGGCTAAATGCATTTCAGCATGACTGTTATGGATTATATAGTGACACCTAAATGCCACATCTGAGTTCTGGACCAGCTTGGCCTTCTGTTGTTACATCCATAAAATTTACTAACAACACTGATGCTGCCAGAGGGAAATGAAAGATCATAAAAAAGGAGGCGAAGCTGCTTCATATTTGCCACCTCCAATATTTGGTTAGGTGCATCTCTGTACCTGTAAACAAAGGTTTGGAAAGCAAATGGACTCATTAATTTTCTTACTTAAGCTACCCACTTAACACTAGCTGAATTGGATCCCTGGGGCAGAATGACTGAGCACACCACCAGAGCTGACATGCAATTTAAAAAAAAAAAAGGGGGGGGGGGGGGGGATTGTTGTTTGGGCTAAATCACACAGAACTGTGGGAGAGATATGAAATTGCTGTTTAGTTTAGGTAGTGCTGCAAAAGAGCCAAGCTCATTTGTGTCATGAATCCCTAGCACAGCAACTGCTCCCTCTCCAGTCACATCACCATTCGAAGCAGAGAGGTGTAAAGCACATGTACACAGAAAGGTGTTTCTGACTACTGCTAGATGTTGGACTGTGTCTCAGAAAGACTATGAAAGCTTCAACAATGAGAAAAAGCCTACAGAGAAACACCAGGATAAGTATAGCTGAGCATGGCAGAGTATCCAAGAATGGGAAACAGCATCGTGATTGAGAGGCCCCTTCTCGGTTGATCCCTGCTGCTGTGTGGGAAAATGAGCCTTTGCAGCTTCTCCATAACTAGACCTGGCTGGTTAAAAGGAAAGCTTGACTCTACCACTGTGCTTTCCTCCTAACTAAAGATGTCTGCAAGACCTCTAGCTTTTTGCATGGGCCAAAGAATCCCCCAAAGTAGTCAGGTCTCCAGAAGGAACCTCCAGAGGTCTGCACTGCTCAGTAGCCATGCTGCATTTCTAGCTTAACCTCTGGTGCTGTGCAGAACACCTTGTGAGACCAGAGTGCTTTTCCCTGATGTCTTGTACTGTCAGCAGAATGATTTGTGGACAAAAGAAAAATACTGAACTTTCTGAACACTGGTTTTCTTTATCCTAGGAGTGAAAAAGGATGGCAGATTTGGTCTTTTTTATAGAGATTTTTTTTTTGGTTCTGCTGCTAGTTTGAGTGCTCCTTGATATCGGTGAGAGTGCTCTGCTACAGCAATAGCTTTAGGTCTTCACCGGGCATGAGGTGTACAAGGCCTTTCTGTAAGAACTTCTCTCACTCTACATACTAATACATTGATCTGAATTCCCCCATTTCCAGCTGAAATTCTCTCACGCTAATGCACAGCCTTGCATGTGCTGGCCCCTGGCTGGCAGAGTTTTTACCCACTCCTGAAGGAAGGGGATGTGTTGGGGGCAGAGTGAACTTGGCCACAATATGCCACACTTTCCTAATCCCGTGCGACTTGGGTCCCCTGCGGCTGTGGCAGCTGCTGGAGCTTTGCAAAGCCCTGGAGCTGCTCCAAATTCCAGAGTTTCAGAAAAGAGGGAACACACCACCATCTTTGGCCACTTTTGTCCTCATCCTCTTTTGTGAGTGCTGCCAAGGATTTCCACCCACAAGTTGGAGGCTTGGGATTTGGCTCTTGTCTTTCTTAAGTGGGTGTAAATCAGGAGTAACCCCAGATAAGTGTATGGTAGCATCCAGAGTTTTGAACTCCACCTGATGAATCAGCTGTCGCTGAGGACTAGCCCTCATGATGGACAGTGAACATGACGGCTGTGAAGGCACAAGGTGCCACAGCTACCATCAATCATGGTTTTCTGTATCAAATTGGAAACTGCTTAAAATGGCAGCTACTCAGGCTGGTGTATTTTGGGGTGAGGGCTGATGGCCTGATAAGGTAAAAGTGAGCCACTGAGCAGCCACTCTCCAGCGAATTTGGCAGCAACACAAATGGAGACAAATGTTTGGTGGGTTTTTTTTCCCTGCACCTTGGCTCAAGAGGTTAGTAGTGGAGTTAGCCACAAGGTAAGAAACGACATCTCAAGCCATTTCTCAATCATGAAGTGATCTCCAGAAATAGCTGAAAGTGGGATCTAATATTATAAAGTGACTTCCCCATTCTTCCATCTCATTTGGTTAAAAAAACCCACCACCCAAACCACTAAAACCAAAACAAACAACTGTTCAGATCATGACTGTCGTCTGAACTTGTCAACATCTGCCCTGAGGATTTTTTATCTGTCAATCAGCCCCAAGCAGATGGGGGAGATGAGCAATTAGGAAATGATCCTTTAATCTGCATGGTCATTAATACTCTCCTGTTCTTCTAGGTCCTGTGCCTTGAGTTTGGGCTCAAGTGGCAAATTCTCTTTGTCCAGGAGCAACTTTGAACTTGCTCTAATTTTCTGCAGCTGTCTTTTGCTTATCTTCTCTCTCCCGTATATTTAACCCATCTGTCAGCCACAGACTGGTTCTGACGTAACAGGAATTTGGTTGTGAGGACAGCACAGTTTCAAGAGCTGTCCTGGAGCCTGCAGACAGTGCCAGGTCAAGAGGTCTGAAGCTCAAGTCTTCCGCTTGTCTGTAAGAATGACAGCCCAGGGACACTGTGAGTTTCTACATCTGCTGCTGCCTGCGCACTGAAGTTCTTGCCTACGTGAGCTTTGTGGAAGGAAATGATAAGTAGTTCAGTTTTCATACCCATTCAGCCATAGTGCAAATGATGATGACAGGTTTTATATCAGCTGTTTCATTAGTGTTTGGATGGAGAACACCAGCTTGTTTTACCTATGGCACTTCTTTAGGGTTTTAAATATGACCTGGATTAAACTGGATGCATGGGTGTGCCCATGTTTTGGACTCTTGCAAAACTTGTGTCCCACTCAGTATCTCTGAATGAACGGGGACACCCTTCCCTGCCCAGCAAGACTGATGTCAATGACAATGAAAGATAGCTGGAAAGAAAAAAACCTTTTCCCCTTAAATCTAGCTGTGAAATGCAGCATTTATTGCTGGGGGGCATATGAAGAACTGCAACATCACTTTCTGCACTGAGTTTGATTTTTAAGTGATTCAGTTCAAATGCATAAAGTACCATGATGCAACTGATTTTCAAAGGCAGATGACTATGGTCTTAGAAGTTCAACTCCTTTTAGAGTATCCCAGGGTGAAAAATGTGGGTACATAAAGTAAATCCTAGGCAGTCAGGTGAAAAGCCAGGTAGCAACAAAGCATCCAGATTAATCAGAAGACGACCCAAGCCAGTTGCATCCCCTGGGGCTGGAGACCTGGGCTGCAATCCTGCCTTGTTAAACCTAATCTCATGAATGTATCTAAACCCATTCCCAGACTCTCTTTGAGTTGCTGGATCAGACCTGCACATAGCTGCTAATGTACGTGTGCTTAAAAGTTACTCTTTTTGAAATTTGTGTGACTGGGTGTTGGGGTTGGAGGGAAGTTTGTCCCCTGAGCTGTGATGCCAAGGAGACAGCAAGGCTGACAGCCCTGGTTTGGAGGTTGTGCCCATCACAACAGCAGTGGCTGATCTGCAGTCACCACAGAAGCTGGCTGGGAGACGCTTTCTGTAAAAGGGCTAGTTTACATCAGTGACATTTATGAAACAGATCCATCGCAAGATGGATCTGTAGCACTGACCTTTAGGTAAAGTTACAGTCCACATTTGGATGAGGCAGACAGTTTCTGATTGCCATTTTTGTTACAAATGTCATGGTTTGGGGTCATTTTTATTGCACATGATCACTTGTGCAATTTAAAATCAATTGTGTTATTTAATCGCAAAAAGCCCAACTCTAAAGTAAGTGGTTTGTATTAGTGTGACTGCAGACGTCAGAAAGATTGCCAGTAAAGGGTGTGAGTAGGGTTTTTTTTAAAGAGGATATTTCCTTTATTTAAGTAAGTAAGTAGGCTATTATACGAGGAATAAAAATAGACATTCAAACAACAGATTTCTATGACTTCTGTGAAAATAAGGATGACCAAAACTGTTAGAGGCATTTTTAAGAGATGATTTTCAAACACTGATGATATATAAGATGTATCTTTTAAAAATGGTGACTTTTTCTTTTATGAAAAGAGGTCAAATCAGAGCCTGTAGTCATGCAAAGAAGTATTTGTATAATGTGTGGTAATGAATTTGGGTAGGCTAGAGCAGAAGTTACAGGCTGGAGAAAAATTTATATATCCAAGTGATGGTACAATCAATCTGAGTTGGAAATTATGCAGCCAGTCTTGTGTGTGAGACAGCTTAAAAGAGCGGAAAGCCACAGAAATTGGCTGGGTTTGGTTTTCCTGTTAATAATCTTGCTTTATTGATGTCAGGTCTAAGTCTGCCTCCCTCCTACAGACTCCTGATTGAACCCTGTGGTACTCAGTTGTCTTCTGAATTTGTTTCAGGACCCACAAATCTGTCAGTGAACCCTAAACTCCAAGATGTTGATGCCTCTGAAGCAGTACACTTTTTCTCCCCCAGGCTGGGTTTCATATTTCATAACGAAATTTTCAGAGGATCCTTTGTGAAGACTAGTTTGTGCATATTGCTCAAGATGGGTGAGCCAACTGTGTTGTTTTTCCCCCAGTCCTCTCCTTGAGTATTAGCTTTACGGGAAAGGTTTGCATGAAAATGTTATTCTCAGGGCATGAAACCGGCAAGTGATTCTGGAGAAAGTCCTCATCCACTGTGCTTCAAACTGTGAAAATATCTCTGCTTGCCTGAAAGGGCTTTTCTTAAGGTATTCCTGTGGCTTTGCTGATGTGAATATATTGCCTTTTGCCTCACAAGAACAGGCTCTCTACTTGGGAACTTTCATATAAGGCACAAAGGGGATAGAAATCTCCAGTATAAACTGTGGATGGTATCAAGCAATATACTGAAAATTAATATTACTATCACTGGATAAGTTTTCCTGTTGGCATATCATCCTTGCCTTTATTGTCAGAATGGTTCTGGACTCTTGTTAGACCCTACAGAATTTGACCTACTAAATGAACTGTATAAAATGAAGACAATTTGCCATACTATAGTCACAGGAATTTATTAGACCAGTTAATGAGTTCTTCTAGCTAAAGTGAGACTTGACAGGAATTGGTAGTAATGAATAATCTCCTCTTCTTGCTAATCTGGAACAAGCTAGTGCTTTGCAAGTAGAACATATATTGTGCTCACAGCACTCTGGACACTGCACCCAGAGACAGCTAAAATGGCTGGTTACACCCCACAGAAATCCTCAAATAGAACAAAAAAAATCCCCAAACCAACCAAACAAACAAAAAAGAACTCTGCCAAACTTTTCCCAGAAGTCCCATTCAGATGTGGGTTTGGTTTTTTTTTTTCTTTTTATGTCTTCCCTATTGCACTCCTCTCTGCTTCACATGGGAAAAACAGGGAAATAAAGGACAGAAGATAAGAGAAACAGCTGAAGAAAGAAGAAAAAAATTGACTTTGGAAATATGAAATAAAATTTTAGAGTAAAAAATTCCCAATAACAATTAAAATGTTTTTTATAATAAGAGTTGTTCCACAGTGAAGGCAAAGCTGTTCTGCTAAAAAAAAAAAAAAAAAAAAAATTTAAAAAAATTGTGCTATGCAGGCAGTGATCTCCATGGTGGGTAGATGTCCTGCAGGCTGGGTTCAAGAGTCTTTGTGCTCCTGTCCCCATGCTGCTGCTACGTGTTGGCGCTGTGCAGGCTGCCAGTTCTCACTGGGGGCTACTATGGGGGGCCTCAAACTTTGAATGGAGGGATAGCGGAAGCAGATGAGATTCCAGGGCCTCACTGTGACTGTCCCACCTGGAAATTACTCAAAATGGCCTTGAAGCTACTTGAATGTCCTCTTTTTGCATAATTTGTGCAAAGGTGGAGTGGGATCTCTTGGCTCAACTCCTTTCCTCTCATGTCTCTGCATTCATGTGTTTGTTCAGTCTGATCTCTGTTCCATGTTTTACACCAAATGTTTATTTATTTCTTCCTCTGAAGCCTCTTCCATGTGGAGTGAGGACCTGACAGCATTCACATTCAACCTCAGCATTTGCATGAGTTTGAGACAGGGCTGAAGAAGTTTGCTAAAAAAGAGGAAGTAGTAGACAGACAGGTTGCATTCATCCCTTTCTTTACCTCCTGCCCTACCGGAGACAATGACAAACTCCTGGTGGTGAGTTCCCTTGTGAGCCTATTATGAAATAGGGACAATAGCAAATCCTTGTGTTTAGATGAAGCTGCCAGACCTGCCCACTTGGAAACTGTGGTTTTGTGAGAAATGAGACAAGAAACACTGTTTGCAGCAGCAGCCACTCTAACAGAGAGGCTCTGGTATGCCCACTGACAAGAAGGGACTCAGACCTTGACCGGTCCCTCATGGTGGCCTGCCATATTCTCACACCACTGTTTCCCTAAGCCTTGCCCTTGTGCATTGCTTATACTAGAGCACACAGGGTGCAAAAACCTCTCATTATTTTGCTTTGGTAATATTTTTCCCCTCTGTGTACACATATATAAACAAGCAAAAGAGGTGCTGGGTCAAAAAAATTTAAGCACCTTCTCTCTTTCTAGCAACTTCAGGGCTGCCCAATTTACTCTGTGCAGACAGGCAGTTAAAATATATTCAGGTTACTGTATTGCTATGCCTTCCTTAAAAAGCTGCGTATACCCAAGAATTGTTAGCACTTGTATGTTTTGCTATGCTACAAGGCAGCTGCAGCAAAGGTACAAGTTAACCTTATCCACCAGTGGAGTGAAATGTTACAGAAGCTCTGTGTGGAAAAAACCTGTGGCCCTGAAGCCCACCCTGATGCTGACTTCTGCTCTACTTTATTAAAATCAGTGGCACTGCTACAGGCACTGTAAGGCAAACAGTTCCTGGCGACGTGATATCAACTGCCAAAGGAAGGAAAATACCCGATGAGGTGGAAGAACATTGGGCTTCATAAGATGCAATGAGAAAAATATAGCTTTCTATTTCATCCAGGTGTCAGAAATCCCAGGCTGTGCGTCATCCTTAGTCAGCCATCCTCCTATTTAAATGAACTTATGCCACAAACCTGACTGTCCCTTAATGTAGATTTCAAGCCCTATCCTTCTCTCACTTTACCTCAGCAAGCATTTATACCCCAGAATCACCAGACTTGACAGCTGGATGGCTGGTAAAAATTTAAATCACATTTAAAATCAGATCAGAGACACAACCCATAATGGTGGCCATGTCTTTCACCTTGTGAACCCACCCGAATGACAAAAGTAGAAGGAACTGCTTAAAATATGCCAGGGTGAATGGACCCTGCGATTCCTCACTGTACGTGGTGTTCTTTAACTCACAGCAGCAGTTCTAGTTTAGAATAAATTACAGCCTGTAGAGAAGGTGTGTAAGTGGTGACACAAGCACTTAATGAATAAAGATACTTTGCAACTGGTGAATAAGAGTTAAATTTGCGATTTACAGGTTTGTTTGGTGCTGTCTTAACTCTGCTCTTGCTGAAGCCAAAACAATGAGCTGTGTTTAGATCTTTGGGCAAGGTAAGGTCTGGGTAGGGAGCCACTGTCTTTTGTCAGAGTAGCTCTAATAGTGAGGAGAAAAACAGACCATTTTTCACGCACGCAAAGTCTACCTCTAAGACTGTGTGTTCTTCAAGCTGTCCCTCTGAAGTCAGTAAGAGTGCATAATACGTAAAGTATCTTTGTGAATGTCTTTAAGACTGAAAATTTAGGCTACGTTAGGCAGGGATTATGTGCTTGTACAAGGCCAACACTGTTCTTAACTGGTTACTAGACACTACTACCATACAATTAATAAATCTTGTAGTAAAATTGCAGTGAACAGCATCTGCCTGTGTTCGTCTTGCACAACATTCCGTCCAGTCATTGGTCAGACTGCTGGATGCTCAAGTCTGGTGGGGATCTGGCACAGGGGAACCTACCTGGTTCTCTTTCAGAGTTATCTGTCCCTGTTCCTTGCAGCCAATGAATGTCCTGATACACCTGTAAATCTTCTCATCGTGTTGTACTCTTTGAACAAAGTTAGCAGGAAAAAATCCAGTTCTGTCATCAATTTTCCCCTGTGGAGAAAACATATTGATAGATGAAGGTCATTAACATTAGTAGCTTTAATACAATTTCAGTATTGAAAATAACATATTTTTCCCTTTGGAAAGAAAACAGATAGGTATGAAATAATTAGCACACACCTTCCACCAGTCTTCATTGGAGTCTTCCAGAAGAGTGATCATATCCCCTGGCCTGTAATTAGAAGAGGAAAAGTAAATTAAGCTGACTCTTAATTGTTATGCTGCATCAGCTTCCACAATTACCTTCTAATAGGAAGCTGGTCCTTCCTTGGTCATTTTATTGAGCATTCACTGCAGGTAGACTCAATGAGGCAGCAAGGTTTTCTTAAATCATACATGGTAACATAGAAAGAGAGTCTCTGTATATTGGGACTAGATCTTTATTTTGAGACAACACCTGTGAACTGGATTTTTTTGCTTCCTGTTTAATATGAAACCGTTTAAAACGCAGTCCCTATTTGTTACAGGCATTATCTTGTTACTTCAAGACATTTCACATTGTTGGGACACACCACTTTATCATCTGTGTTTTCAAGCTGTGATTGCAGAAGGAAGGCAGCAGGAAAATAGTTCTATTTAACTGACAAAGGCAATTAGTCAGCAGGGATATAATTCTGCCCAGGAATGTCTTTTTGATTTGAATGGGACATATTTACCTTTATAATGTGTGGTGCAGGGTTGTAATTGCTAAGTATCAGCATCCAGCTGACTAGTACCAAAGCAGAACTAGGAGAATAATTTGGCTGGAAATGCTAATAGCAAAATGTGCTGAGCTAATTTTGTGCAGGTAGTTGAACAGTTATTTGACCTCCTTCCCCCCATTGGTGGCACTTCATCAACGTTATTATGTAATTATAACAGTGCTGCGCTGTAGAAAGTAAGTGGCAGCCCATTTCCAAACGGATTAACCTCAGAAAGCTCTGTCTGCTTAATAAGAGATATTTCTTTGATCTTAGTAAAATTAACAGTTGACCCCCAATTATTCAGCTTTCTTTGCATACCCTGTTAGGCTCACTATATAGTTGAGGTATCAGCACAAGAGCTTGCATATGCATCTGGAGCATGTGATAGATAACGGGTCCAATTTAACGGGCTCTGTTAGAGCACACATAGAAGATGTGGATCTGTCTAGAATGCAGCTGGAGATGGGGGTGGTGCTGTGCCTCTTTGTTCCACTTGCCCAGTGGTTATCATTGCTGCTGACAACTGGAGAAACAGGCATTTAGCCTCCTAGTACCACACAATCTGAACCAGAGATTTCCAGCTTTCACAGAAAGGCACTATCAATAGGATTTTCCTCAAGCCCTCCTCAGAAAGCTGTTCCAATGTGTTTCGAATAATTAAATGTTGCTGAGGTGAGAAAGGAAGCTAGAGAAAAAAGACAACTTCGTATCCCAGTGGTAAAAGATTTCTTCCATGGGAAAGCACATCTGAGGCCCTTATTCCAGTCATTGCTTAATATAAAACACTTAAAGAGGTTTTGAGGGAGCCCATCCTGCCACTTCAAAGTGAATACCACCTTTGGAGCCCTTATACTGCAAGGATGAACATTTTCAATAAGAAGGATTTAGAAAGCGCCATCCCCCAAATACCCTTCAGCCTAGAAAAATAACTTAGAAAATATAAATTTATTTGGGTGTCAGAGAAAGATGGTAACTGAACCTAAAGCTTCTCTATGTCAGTGGTCTTAGCACTGAGATTTTTAGATGCAAGACCTGCAGATTTTGCTTTCTGATATTTTTTACGCACAGGGCTAAAACAGATGTCGCTAATCTCCAAAAAGGATTCAAAATAGAAGTCCCAGCTGGACTGATATTACTCTTGCTTCCTAGATTTAGGCTGCTAAGCCCTGAAAGGGGGCATCTTCCTTGGTGTTTTACTACTGGTTGAAATCACTGTCAGGTCTCACCTTTTTCTTCTGTAAATCACAACTCTGGATAAGTTGTCTGCTCTACATCAGTGTTCTAGATTTCAGTAGGTGGCAAGATAGGTGCTCGTCAGCCCTAAAGTGTCCAGGAAACCACTTATCATTGTAGGCCCCTTCCAAATATTCTACTCTCTGCTATGCTATGCTATGCCATGCCATGCCATGCCATGCCATGCTGTGCTATGCTATTCATTGCAGTGTCTGAAACCTGGGGTTGCTTGTCTCCAGGACTCTTTACTTACTGTAAAATAAGGCCACTTCTTAGAATAAGCATATTACTGGAACATCATGTTTTACTTATGCCAGAGATTTGGAAAACCTGACTGGCTGCTCTTGCTGCTGAGGAAGAAATCAGTGTTGTGGCAAGTACTAATTGCTGCTGAATTGCAAGTGCAGCATAGCAGACCCTCAGAGGTGAGCCGAGATCTCCAGAAATCTCCCTCAACTCCTCTTCTCAGCTCAGCTCCTTTCCCTGCTGCTTGCCTTCATTATATCAGTTGGATCAGTGTCTGTCTGGTCCCTGACTTGGGTTCCCAGGACAGTGCTTGTAAGTCTTGACAACATTGCTATGCTGAACCCATGTCCAGCAACTCAACTACGTTAAATGAAAATTCATGCAACTGAGCTGAATCCTGCCTGGCTCTGCAGTGACCAAATGACATTACTAGCCATTTGGCATTCCTTAGGAAACAGTGTTAACCCATGTATTACTGAATTTCTGCCCATGGGACAAACAATGCTGCTGTAGCTGAGTAACACTAGTCTAAAACCTGGTTGGTATTTCTGGAAAAAGCCTGTTAGTCATGACAGTCCAGGTTGCAGACCACAGGTTACTTTTTCCCCTAATATGAGGGACAGGAGAAATTTGGAGAATGACTTGTTTTCTGGATTGCTATGTGTTGATGAGGGTGGTAGTTCAGCGCAGGTTTGTCTGAGCAGTGTTCCTCTTCATGGAACAAATGTGCAAGCTGGAATACACCCCTTAAAGGATCAGGATACAAAGTGGAATCCCTCAAGCAGAATAGGTGGCAAGTTGCACTAGAGGTCACCATACCCTATGGTTATTTCCTAAAGAGTTAACATTCCTAAAATAATGATCAGGAAATGCCAGGAAAGCAGAATGATAGAGAAGTTTGTAATTTCTGCCTTACATCCCACCCATTAGCTCCAGAGCAATGAGAAGGCACAGCTGGGAACAGGAAAAAAGGCTTTCAGTGAAGGAGATGCTGGCAAGAAGGGCATTTCTCTGGCAATTCCCTAAATTCTGTGGCATGTGCATGGCTTTTTGATACAGGGGATGCACTGAAGAGAGCTGACACATTTCACAACAAGAGCTCTAGCAAGACCATGCAAAATGTGAGTAGCATGAGTCAAACTAATTTCACTAAAAGAGAAAATGTCCTTTCACTTCAGTGGGCTTGGATTAGACCTTGTAGTGCTAGAAACTGATACACAACTGAGGAAGGAAGTGTTCAAAATTGTAATTAACAAGGTTATTTTGCAAAGCTCAGAATGCATCTTTCTCGTATGAAAACACTGCCATCCAGAAGCTGGACATTGTTCTCTTTTCTCAAACATAACCTGAATGTGAGGGAAAATCAAACAGGGCTGGTAAAATGTTCAGTGTTAGCATGAGAGTTGGTAAGGAATTCCTAGCTGAAAACTTCTGGTTGAAAAAATAAAGCAACTCAAAACTGAGTATTCTCTAGCTGAAAGCCACCTTACTTCTAAAGTGACATAAATGTTTTTGAAACATTTTATCTATTGTGTCCTTGCCAAAAAAGTTGGTCACCAGCTTTTTATCTATGAAATTATCTTTGCATCTGCAAGTGGATACCCCTATACAAAATGTTTAGTACAAATGTCAGAATGAACCCTCCCTCCCCTGAAATCACATTTAGCCACATGACCCTCAGTTCATATGGGTCAAATCAAGTAACAAGCATTTTGGGGCTTTACCTCATCTCCAAGTCTTCATTTTCTTGTGGTACAAATTTGTACAAGGCAACATAGGTGTTCATTTGTAACGTGCTTTTATAAAATGGTCCCTTTAAAAAAAAAGAGAAAGAGAAAATTTAAATATCTGTCCTGTACAGGAATTTGCTTCACTTTGTTAAGGACTGAGGACCCAGGGCCTCATCTTCCAAGAAATGAGCCAGAATCATCTCATTGCCTCGGAGGACTATGGCCCAGATACACTGTGAGCCACTAAGGCAGTAACTATCTTTATTTAGAAATAAGATTCTTTGAACCCCAAGATCAAATGCCAGTCTTCCAAAACACACAAGCAGACATCTGCACAAGTTGGTCTTTTGAGTGAGATCTTAAAAATGAGTATGCATTTTGCTCTCTGTTAATGTATGACTCTTATGAGCCCAGCAGTCTATTACAGGCATTATATAAAGTGTCAATTATACAGTCCTTATTATGGATGGAGGTAGAGTTCTACAGTGCACAGGTCCAAAAAAACAGGGTGGGAAAAGCTTAAACAGCTGCTTGCACTGGGCTTCCCACAGAGAAGACTGGCTACTCTCTCTCCTCCCTTTCTCCACTGGTAATCTAGAGAAAAGAAAAGCACCTAAAACAAACCCCAAATAATTTTCCAAATAAAATCTGTGATTTTTACATTACTGCAGTTCTAATGTAATGACATTGCCTCCACACTGGATCTTTTCTGTTCACACTATCCATTTGTAATAAACCGAAGAACGTAAAAGGGACCACAATGGGCAAACCAAAGAGCCATCCAGTCCTGTATATTGCTTCCAACTGTGGTCAGGGGCCCAGAAATGCTATAAGAACATGACAGTCAGATATCAATGCTTCTCCAGAATAGTGCCCCAGCAGACCTACTCAAGGTACTCAGCTATCCATAAAAACAAGCCTTTTATATGATTTCCCCTTCCCATTGCATTGTCACAAAATTTATGCCCATACCGGGGAATGTATACTCTTTGGTTCTTCTCCAAAGTGTTCTGTGCCATTTTCGGAGTATGTAAACACTGAAATAAAGCAAACGCATGACATTTTAGGAGTAGTTTAAGACTCTTCACCTCAACAGGATCACCTTTATTTCGATAATCTCCTCCCTTTCCCCCTTACTTTCTTCAATCCCTTGTCCTCTCCCCTGAACCCTTCTAAACCCCCAACAAAACCACATATACCACTGGACATGGCACAAAGCAATCTCTGTCCTGAAGAATTTACAATTGTAACATAGAAACCATTTTGACCAGGTGCATATACACAAGTACAGCACTGGGAATAATCCCCTAACTGCACTACTATTTGAAGTCCAGCAGCCTTTTCCTCACACTGAATGCTGTATTTTCATGTTTAGGATGAGCAATATTTCCATTTAAAAGCACCTGCAAAACCTGATGACCATATATGAGCAATATTGCGGCAAGTTTGTATACAAAAAACCCTTCTTCCCCCCTCTTCGACCCTCTGTCTCTAAATATTTAATAGCTGTCTTTGATCTCTCTCTCCACTAGTCCCTGCCTGGGGGGCACTGGATATGCTGCCTCTCTCTCTGATTTTACAGGAGGCACCTGAATTGCTTTCAAATCAGGATGAGTTATCCGAGACACAGGCCTGTGTGAAAATTTGCTTCTAAGTTACTAAATCAGAAACTCACAGAATAAGGCAATGGTCACAGCACCTAACATACCTGATATCTAATCAGTTACCCTCTATTGTAATTGCTGCATGAGCTGACTGATGCCTGTCCTCTGTTGTCTCCCTAGAAAAAGCACAGTGGATTTATTACATTGACTGAATTCCCCCTTCGCATTTTAAGAATTGCCTGATGTTTCTTGATTCTGGATAAAGTCTGAATGTGATTTTAATAGCTGGAGTCTTTGAACAGCTAGAACTATCAGCATCTTCTCCCACCATTTACCTCTGCAGGTGTTTTGAGCAGAAGCTGGATTTTGTAGTCTCTAACAATTTGGAAATCACCAAAATGGTAGTAAGTAGCAGGCTGATTGATTGAGTGCATTTTCTTTTTGTTTCTCTGTGATATAGTTACATGCGTTCAGGGGAAAGAAGGTGCCAGGGAACACCAAATTGCTGATTTCTTTCCCTCTCTGCTCATTCACTTGCTCACCCTTTCTTCCATTAACGCATATTTCTGTGGCTATTCTACACTGTAAATGACAACCCAACCAAAGCGTCTTTGAAGAAGTTTTATGACTGAAATAGTAAGGTTCCTTGACAGTAGAGTTGTACGTAGACATTGAAAAAAATCGTCGTGTTCTTGTAACACAGGAAGATAGCTAAAACAACAGCCACATCATGCATGAGAAAGATTTGTACAAAGTGATATGCATCCATGAGCATACAGAAGCAGCTGTTCTCTGATAAAATGTAAGACAATATTGTAGTCATAAAGTCCAATGTGTGAATGTGAAGACAGCATGTGAGGCGATACCTGCAGCATTTAACCTGAAAATGCCCTAAGTTGCGTCCAGGTGGTCTGACTGCAGCTGACCTGGGGGCCTCACTCTGCTCCTCACCAAGTCTTGTTGTAGAGGGACTCTGACGCTGCAAACTGTCATAAGTAGCAGAGGGAAAAACTTAAAAATATAATTAATTTCCTGTATCTTCTAGTATAGAGGTATACATATATCTGACATCTGTCTAAAGGAGTGTAAAGTGCTGCTGTTACAATCTGGCTTGGCTTAAGTCCTACTCAAATTACTATGCTTTGTGTTTTGTGTCCAGAGGAAAAGGAGTTAGGGAGGCAAATAGAAAAAGTTCTGGTGAATAACGAGTTGGGTAACCAGAAGCACTTTGGACTTGCAGAAAGTCATTCACCAGACAAAGTGGAAGTATTTCGGCATCATGTTTGGAGTAATTTCTGCTAGGCGACAGAAAATAAAGCTGAGTTACTAGTGTACAGCCTCGTGAGGTGTGGAGCAGACCCAGCAGGTGGGGAGGGGGCTGGACTGTATCCTTGTGTTTGCTGAGAAGTGCTCACCGACCTGGGTTTGCAAGGAGGACATCCCATATTTGACTCGAGGAGAAAGTGCTCAAATCCTGGTTGATAACGGGTTCACACATGTCACTTAAAGTACATTTTGGCTTGTGGGATTTCTGTTACAGATGGCAATTCACAGCTGTGAAGGAGTATAACTGGCTTAGAGGAGGCTGAAGGGCTGGAAATTAGGTATGCCATCTTACAGTTGTAAACTAGGAAGCTTTGCTTCATAGTATGTGTGCCAGGGCCTGAATGAAAGAGTCTTCCCTTTAAGTTGTTGCCATAGGAGTCTATAGGAGCAATTACACGGCCGCACATGTACTGGGTCCTTTCACCCTTCTGCAGGCTGTGTCTTTTCCACTATTTCCCTTTAAGCAAAGAGTCTTAAATGTACATTTTCCTAAAATCTTATTTGCAGAAGACAGTTTTTAAATGGAAAAAAGAAAACCACAACTGGTATGGACCTGATTCATCAAGGCATAAATGTGGAACTGCCTGCTAAAGAGGCAGTGGACGACTGAAGAAAAAGGAGTGCTGAATCACCCTGTAACAACATTTTGAATTTACTTTGTAAAATTTTTAATCTCTGTTTAGCTCATGGTCTCTGGATATTAGTGGGAGAGGCTTGAATCTGAAGGCCATAGAGGTATGTAGTTCACATCTCCACACAACAGAAATCCATCTATTTTCATATTTGTTTGCCCTAGCAGCTGCAGAAAAAAAAAAAAAGGGCAGGGATTTTTACAGTCTGAAAAGGTTTTCACCATTTCCATAGCTTGTGCAAACAGTGTAGGCATTTTATTAAAAATCTACCAAGGGGAAATTTTTGGAGTGACTGATGCATAATTTATACCCTGGGCCTCTGAAGGATGGATTGTAAAAAAGCCAGTGCTGATCAAAGGAATCATTAATGTGCCGCGGAAGTTATTTAGAGATTTGACACATGCTGAGTTTTTAAGCTAATCTCTTTGAGTAAGTTCCTTGAATGCCTCTCAGTGCATTCAGTGAATACAGATCTCAGAGAAAAAAGTTTCTCTAGGTTTCAGAAATGAAACTAGTGATCGACAATGAAATAAAAAGTTATCTGAAAACTCAAACAGAGCCAAATTAATCTCAGGTGGGCAGGATTAAACAATGTGAAGCAGACTGAATTCTTCAACCAGGTCAGGTCAACTTACACTTGCAAGACAGAAAACCTAAAAAAATTGTCAGGAGAAAGCAGATAACGTAGATGGGATGTTCACAAAATGAGAGGGAGAAAATGACTGAGCACAGTGAGAGGTGATAGGACCAGGAGGGAAGGAAAGGAATAAGGAGGTAGCATAAAATGGGAATGGACTGCTGAAGCTGGCATTTCACCTACATGAATTGCTAGCAGCATGTAAGGAGCACTGGGGGTGCTATGAAGAAAGCTATGCTCACTGTGATTTATTTTTGTAGTGTACATCTCATGAGTGATTCATCAAAGCAGCCTTCAGGTGCTATGAAAGAAGTTTGGGCCTGAAGTTTTGCTTAGCACTCCAAAACCCTTTGTACTTATTGCTTCCCTCACCATGACTGAATTCAAGAACAGGGTCACAAACACCAGCCCTCAGTGGCTGAGATTTCGTTACCAAGCTCTCGATTGGTATGATGGTCTTGAAATCCCATCATAACAATGCTGTAAAAACATTACTCTTGTACTGCAAAGCATACAAAAGAATTGGGCTATTAATATTACTGGGTGCTTATTGTAGTTGTACTGAGAAGCTGCAATTATAATCAGGATTCATTGTGTTGGATATTTTACAGACATACAGATAGTATATGATTCATTTCCTATCCCAAAGAGGTTATGGTATACAGAGACATGTAGACAAGTCAAACATATGGAAAAGAAAGGAAGTATTATTTTTGTTCCATTTTGCCAGTGTGGAACCGAAGAATGTGAAGTGATTAGTCTACAGTCATGTTCATGAAGCATAGGAGATAGGGAATGGACCTAAACCTTGTCCAGTGTCAGGTATAGACACAACAAATTAAGAAAATTGGTGGCTTGGATTTAATCTGAATGGCAAAAAGCATTCCCCAAATTCTTGCACCAACTACATGCCCCACTCACCTCCTGCTTTGAAAACCAGAATGCTGCTAAAACATGGACATGCCGTAATAACCCCCATCTGAAATAGGCTGAACACAGGGCTATACATCTGAAGATGCTATCCTGGCCTGGCAGCACTCACCGCTGTTGCTGCGTTTCCTGCTTATGTCAAGGGTGCCTGCAGAGCTATCGCCTTCCTCAGGAACTTCTGCCAGGTCAGCTGTCTGCAGGGACAGAAAGAGCAAATGAGATGGGATAAGCCAGAAAAAAGGGAGCAATGAGGTGATATAAGACCACGCAAGAGCCTTCGGGGAACGCAATACTTGGGTGCTATCAGAGCAGAGCAAGTCAGCCTAATGGTATTACAGAAAACATTGTATCTAGTGATGCACAACAAATACCTGCTTCACAGGGAGCAATGAAAACCCAGAAAGAACTCCAGATCAAGTTTACAATCTGGAGTACAAAAGATTTCTGCAGTATAAAGTGAAGTGAAAGTTAAGAAACAAAGGATTATGTTAAACAATGTAGTTCTCTGTATAAAATAGAAAGGGTTTGGGGGATTTTGTAGATCCTGCAGGTATACTAAATAGCTATCTACCAAGGAGACTGACTATTAATTGAAACTATTAATTTATTTACCCTGAATACATTCTTCAGTAAAATAACTGTAATGTAAGGGTGATTTTAACTCTGTTAACATTCTGTGAAAGAAGGAGCTGGAGTGTGAAGGAGTTGGTGAAGTCAGTCTTTAAGTATCTGCCCTCACTTTCTTTTTCAACAGCCATATAGCTGGTATTGGTTAGGGAAAAATGAAACCCAAATGTTGTTGTTAGAATTACTATGATTTCGTATTTGTACTATATTAATGTCAATCATGATTAGGGACCCATAGTTCTAGGGTGTAGGAAAACGTGGGATGACATAATCTCAAGCCTCAGAAGTATACTCTGCATAAGGCACCAGATTCCTTGGCTGGGTAGTCAGCTTCTCCATGTATAGCCCGACAGGAACCAGGAGCTGCTCCAAACAACTCTGTCCGAATCTGACCTTACGGAACTTCAGTTTCTGAACTCTCCACACTTGACTTCTTTTGGGTAAAACATCTTTGATAACCATAAAAACCCCAAACATTGAACTTGAGTGAGGTGCTCCCTCTAATCTGAAAAACTGTAAATCCTTATATCCTCCTAAGCTTTATTTATTTCTTGTTAATGGGATTTTAAGACACATGGAAGGATTTAACTTCATTATTCCATGATACTTTACAATTGTACTGTACACATAGCTCTGTGCTTTGCTTTACAGACCGTTGCTTGCATTACAGGAAGAAAAGCCAAATGAGGAACATTCCCTGCTTTTGTTCAGGGAGCACAAAATCTGAATTGCTTTATAGCTTTTTATATGTTTTTCCTTTTATTAGTGTTGACAACAAAACTTTTTTTAGAAAGTACTTTGACAATTTCCTCTATCTAGTACTTTCCTAGCTATCCAAGGATACTAATGAACAAAGAGGCTAAAGGTAGATTTAAGCCACAGGTATTTTGTGGTTATCTTGTTTCCCTTGCTATTTTAAGACCCTTCTACTTTACCGCTCTGTTATGCCTTGTTTTTAGACTCAGACTTTTGCAGCAAGTCATGCTTGTCTTACAGCTGGCACAAACGGGTCACCACCTGGATGAGAAGGCACTGCAATAGCAATGCTAACACAAAGTCAGTGTAGAGCATATCTAGGGATTTCTAGCTGCTGGGTGGAGAAGGGAAAGACTAGCTTTCTTGAAATAGCAAGTACTAGCTATTTTTCAGCTCATTGCTATGGCATATTTCTCAGTCTTCATACAGTAGCTTCATAATTGTTGATTAGCTTAATATTTTGTTGGGTACTATGGCATATAGAATGTAGTGACGGCTTTTCAGTATATACCTCATCCAAAAGCTCCTGAAGTAACCTCCGTTACCTTTAATGATTTTTCAGTCAAGAGCTATGTGACAAATGCTCTAATAGAAATGATAGAGGTACAAAGCTGCTTTTGAGAGGACCTGATCCACAAAATACTAACAAGTACTGGAATCACATTTACATCACCTCAAGTGACTTTCTGTATAAATGTGGGTTGCAGAAGCACATTTTTGACGGAAGCAGTAGGTTGTAAATTTGGAGCATATGGCCACTTTCTTTTATGGGAATTGCAGAATCCAGGCTGAAAAATCACAGTGGGTGCGTCCACACTGCACAGTCATGTTAAAAATACCCTGGCTAGTTCAAAGTAAAACAGTTAGCTCTACTCTGTGCAGAGACATGAACTGCAGTTCTGGACACTTCATGGCTGTAGAGGCAAGGCACAGCTGCTAAGCTAGCTGCCTTTGATTTTAACTACCTTTAGCAGGAGAAGCTATGCTGCTCTGACCCAGAGCTAGCCCTTTGACAGCTTGTATACCACCTGTGAGGTGAAGTAGGATCCCAGGTGTCACCATGTCCCTGGTGTCCCTGATTTGGTGACAAGGCAGAACCTTGAAGCACTCCCCAGCTCCCAGGGCTGGGGCACATCCCAGCCGCAATGCCCCTGTGCTGCTATAAGCCTTGCAGCTGAGGACCACTGGGGAAAGATCTTAGTCCCTATGTGTTATTAACTGCACATGTGCTGCTAGCTCACGTGCTCTGGTGCAATTTTACCTGGACTCCGTGTCACATGCCTGCTCTGGTCACTGGTCAGTGCCTGCTCCTGGGTCACACATCACAGTTGTAAAGCTCCATGGCCTCATCATTTGGATCAGGGTTGTGTCTGCCCCTGGTTTTTATCCTTGTCTCAATCCACAGGCTTGCAGTGGCAGAAGTTACGGTTTCACATGACTGTTTTTTCAGTTCTCTAATGTTTCTATTTTCTGTACACTGACACATGTTATATTGTCTCTCAGCCTTAATGCCCTGGAGAAATTCCCATAATGAACTTGGGTTCCTCGTTCTACACCCACACCCCGCCTAGTTATGATCAATTCCCTAGGGCAAGCTGACACAGCATTCGTGATTTCTACGCTTGAGTTGTCATTCATAATTCAACATAACGCTTTATTGATTTAGAAAGCAATAATTACATTTGTAGAACTTCTGTTTCAAAGTAAATTAAATAATTGAAAGAAAGAACTGTAATCACAATGCGACAGGTGGTAGAGTCACTTTGGGTTTTAAAAGAGAATGGAAATTACCAAATTCATTTTAAGGCACAAACAAGGGTGGATAGAGGACATGTCCTTTAATAATTCCCTTGCTGATTTCACTTAGTTCTTGTTTAAATTTGTCTGTCTTCTTTCCCATCTGACATGTCTGATTAGAGGCCACCTATACCACCTGAGGTTACAGTTCAGCCATGTGAGTGAGCATACATTTAAGTGCCAGGGAAATGTTGTACCAAACATAAACAGACATTAGCACAATGTTAAATTAAACATGTAAGTATTTGCTCTGAGGCCTGGAGACCAAGTCTCATTATGTCTCTGTGCCTGGTGATTGTTATTCTGAGGTGAGTGCAGGAGACGTTGTCAGATATTGTGGGTCTGATTTTTAGACACGAGCAACAGCTTTAGCCTGCAGTGTATTCAGGTGTGATTTTTCTTTTTTTCTTTTTTTTTTTTTTTCCAGAGGTGGAGTAGGGAAGATGTCTTGGAAAAAAAGAGAGCCTCAAGCATAGGCTTAAGTGCCTGTTTATGAGAGGTGAGAGGGTATGAAATGTTCTTTCAGCACCATGAGTGAGCTTCTGATCTCATGGGTCCCAATACTGTTGAAATTACCATTTCTGTAAGGAAGAAATTGGTAATTGTTATTGATGAACTAGGTATTTAGCAAAGGTAGGGTTAAGGGAACTATTGTTTCCCTTGACCTCCTTCTGCAGCTCTTCTGCCATGGTCCTGAAGAAAGTGACTTTTATGATAGGAGAGAGTGAATGACACAGATTAACATGAAGGTGAAAATCTCCCTAAATACAACAAGCTGAGCACCCGTGCCTGTCTTTTGGTTTTGGAGAGAGGAGCCCAAATCTTTGATGCTCCTCTCCTGAGTCTACACTGGGCAGGGGTGGAGAAGCCAGTCCATTGCCTTGTTGCGGTAGCAGTGGCTTAACTTTGACTGGGCTTGTACTGTGGAGCTTGTACTTTTAAATCTAGGCTCTGAGGACTCCAATCCATCACTATCACTTGTATGAAGGGTAAATGCCCACCATCAACAACAGGCAGGATGCATCTACTTCAGCATGACACTTAAATATCTCTGTTCCACTTTTACACAGATATGCAAAATCAAAAGAATATGATTTCCTTTTCCAATCCAGTAAAAGATTATTAATTTAATTTGTATTTTTCTCTTTCTCTCAAGAGTTATCTAAAAGATACTTAAAACACAAGTTTGCAAAAATAATGTGTTTTCTAGTCTCATTTTGGAAGCTGAGAGTGAAATTAATTTTTTTTTACAGTTTGAAATACAAGTTTTGTGAACTCTGATACAAACTCCTGTGAATGAATATCTGTTGCTCCTCCACAAAGAAAATGGAAGAAAGATGTTGGATACTTACAGAGTTTCTGTTGGGAGAGTCAGACCCACTTCCAGAACTGCCTTTTTTGGTTTTCTGGGCTAAGGAAGTCCCAAAGCGGAGAGTTTCATACACAGGGTCAACCTTATTTCCACAGGCTGCAACAGAAGGAGCAAAACATGCATCAGTGCCTTGAAGATATTTCTGGTCATGTTCCTGCTCCACTTGGAGAAACACCCGCCTCTACCAACATGTTGGCATGTTTGCTTAGGCACAAGTTGGGTGACTATCCTGATAAAAATTGTTTGATGAACTTAGTGGAATTGGCTTTTGCTGGCAATTTTCTGCTGCCTTTCTGCTCCCATAGAGATCATCCTCCCCTCATACAGGCTCTTTGGGTCCCTGCCCTTGCCTCTCTTGACCTGCCATCCTCCTTCTTTCATCACCACTGATGCTGCCTACACTGAGGTAAGAAAGGCAAAGTAGCAGGAGGCTTTAATCCATGTTTGCTGCCTGTTCCTACCACTGACCTCTTGGATTGCTCTCAACAGTAGGTGCTTGAAGGGAAAAGCCCTGCATTGTGCCTGAGCATCCTCATGGTGTGGGTGGGCCATCATCTTGGCTAATGTGGATAAACAGGGTGGCCTGGATCTTCCTTGAAAGGTACCGACATCCCCACTGCAGGTCCATATGGGGTCTGAGGGCAGGTGTGAGTAAGTACCTGCTGTTGGGAATGTGCTCCAGGTTGCTCAGCTCAGTCTAGGGGTAGCTAGAAAGGCCACCACCCCCACTGGCGTATACTTGTTCAATTCTCACTCCCACTCTCCCTCACAGCTGTCCCCAAAAGTCATCTTCCATGGCAGAGAAATGGATGCCTTCAATTGGCATGAGCAAATTCAGTTCAAATCCTCTTCTACATACTGCATTATTAGACCTCAGCCTCCCTTGTGGTACAAGGCAGCAGACACGTAGAATACAGTACATTTGCAGCACTGTCTAGAAGGAGGGAAATTTTGGCCAAAATACTGAGAAAATATATGGGATTTTGAATTTTGATGAGAGCTAAGCACACCTCATTTTTTAGCCAGAGTTTGTTCAAAATGTTTCTATTACTTCTGACAAAAACAACCGGATTTTTACAAAGAGAAACTTAGAAGAAATTCATGCAATTCACTTTTTTTTTTTTTTTTTTTAAAACTGCTGAAAACAACAAAGTAAATCTCCTCAGACAAGTCAGTTTAAACTGACTGCCTAGTTTTGGCTTTCATTTTTTGTACTGTCAGGCTTGCCTGGTCAGACTACTGATGGGGAGAAATATTTTGCAGAATCAACTCAACTTCTCCATTTCAAAATGTTTCTTTTCAGGAATTTTGTATTACAGTAAGCAGAATCTGGTCTTTTAAATACTTGGACAATGTGTAGAAATAGGCAATAATGAAAAATATGAAGAAAGTAAGAAGTGTGGATGAAAAAGGACAGCAACCTAAGAATGTTCCTCAAAAGCCAGACCAGTGTTTTGAATGCCTCCTGTTGTTTTGATCTCTCTGTCTTTTATCTGGTTCTTCCCTGCTCAGACCTTCACCTCAACATTCCAGTGTTTCTTCTCTCTTAAGTTCCCACCTTGATCTCAGGTAGTTATTATTACAAACAGGGTAATTGCTAAGAGGTTATATGTATGGGGGTTTGAGTGAAACGCACAATAAACACACCCTCTCCTCTTCCAGCTTTGTATCTTTGAAGTGGTCCTTTCCTGAGATGGCAGAAGGGCATCCAGTCACCGAAAGGAGCTGGAAGGCTGCTGAGGGTAAATACCACGGCTGGAAGTCTGCCGCTGCTGTTGCAGAGCACTGCCAAAGGGAGACTGAACAGAAAAGCAATCAAAACCTACCAATAGGCATCACTTCTTTGATGCAGCCAAACTGTTCATGAATGAGTAGTGGTGAGCTGTAGTACCGTCGAAATCCCTTTGGCTGGAGGGAGAGAAAGCAAAAACAAGTGAAGTGTATTGCTGCCATGGTTGACGTAGTAGAAATAACCTCAGCTCTTCGTTAATGGCGTGACAGTGTGGTGAGGCTGGAAGTTTGCCTCCTGTTGTTGAGTCACTGTGTGGTTTTGAGATCAGGGATTTAATTGATTTTTCTCCTGGAAAAAAACAATTTCCTGTATTTATGTGGAAGGAGGGGCTCATTTGCAGCTCCCCTTTTCCTTTTATCTTACACAAAAGCAGCATTAATTAATTGCAGCAGAAGTGCTGAATCATTAGAGGCTCTGGGAAGTTTCCCTCTCCCTTTCTTCTTATGTAATGTGAATTTGCATTGTATTGCATTTGCTAGACATGCGACTATCTTTACCCACCCTAACGCCAAATCCTCATGTTCCCACATATGCCCTCATGAAACCCAAAGAATTTAGAGCCTTTCTATAGTTTTTTTTTAAGGCTTGCTGCTGACTGACTGCAGCTCCCACTGCTTTTTTGTCTTGTAAGGTCAAAACACTCCCCAAGTCATCACCAGATGTCCCCTCAGTGTCCATTTGTAGAGAAATGCACTATAACAACACAAGCTATATTATTAAAGAATACCACAATATGGCCAGTAGTGGTGCCCTATAGCACTCTTTGAAGGTTAAAGATTTCCTGTTACCTCTCCATTTCCTATATTAGCTAGCAAATATCTCAGGCAAAGGCTGAGTACCCAAAGTGAAGGTTCTAACATCTAAGTCTTTGGAAACGCCCTTCAAGGTATTAGAAATTCACAAATGGTCTCTCAGATTTCTAGTCTTTGCAGGTTGTGAGAACTTCCAGTCACAGTGAGAAGTGGAAAAGCCTCATGGAGATGTGCATATTTTCCTGATTCTATATTCAGTATACATCAAAAAACCGATAGACAACTAGTTCTTTTGCTAATGAGCTGCAGTATAGGTTGAGAAGGAATGAGGGGATTAATAAATTTGGTTTCTTAGTGGAATAAATTCCAGATTCTCCAGCCTTGGTTTGCCCCGAAACTAGATTCAGACATAACATGAGCTCATAAAACTCCCGTGACTTTGCTGGATGACTTCCTGCTGTAAATTTGGCCTCTACTTTTCTGCTTCTGTAAAATAGTGACCACAAGAGCTAAGGCTGGAATCAAGAAATACATGAAACAGTTCACGTGATTTAATATTTGGCTTGTCCATGGTTTTTCAATGAGGTCATTTAGCTCTTCACAGACCAACTTCCTATACCAGAATGCCACACACTAGGGCTATGATTATGGTTTAAATGCATAAAGATTTGCCTCAGGTGTATAAACAACAATAGCTTTCACCGAATATCCGTGGAGAGAAAACATCTTTCCACTGAATGGTGAGTTTTCTAGCCCTTTTGAAGCCAATGCTTGCAAATTTTCATCATTTAACATAGTGGAACTCTTTAGGTTTAGCTCATATTTGTCTCAGGTGCCTTCAGGTTGCAACAAATCTGAGAACATATGAAACATGAATACATGTATTCTGTTTTCATATTCCAAATGGTCATTTTCCCAAGTTCTTTTTCAAAAAAGTAATCAAAAGAACCATAGTCCCATAAAAGTCATCAAGTCGGGTTAGAATTGTCTCAAACACAATGTCCTGCCTTTGCCGATAATTTGCTGCTCTGAAGGTGACCCAGGCACTAAGGTGCTGTGTCCATACAGGGGCAGGTCTCCTCCCAGCCTCTCCTACTGTGAGACTGCTTCAAACTCTGTAGTGTCTCACAGTGAAATAGCCTTTGGTTTTCTTTTTAAGATGAATTGTGGTTTTTCTTCAAGCCTCAACAGTGGAAAAAAACAATAAAACATAATTCGAAGGATTTCTCATTTGTTACTCTCCACTGAAATATTTTGACTCATTTATAGCATTCCTTGAGAGATTTACACTACAGCAAACACAGTTTAAATCAAGGGAATTAATGTTGTTATTTAGGTGAATTTGGATTATGTAACTGTATTTTCACATCCAGAAAGCAGACCAGATTTGTGTTTCATTTCTGTTCAGGTTTTTGAGTAGTAGCAATTCCTCAAATTTATAATAGGGCTTTACCTGCCTCAGTAAACTGACCTGGTGTCAGTTCCATTAATGCACCAGCTAAATGCCAGCCAGGGGGTCAGGGACCCAAAGTGGCTCTAGCACAAGCTGGTGCCTCCACTTGCTGCCCTGAGCTGCTCACTTACCAGCTTGCCCATGCAACGTTGTTGTCCAATACTGTCTGCACACTTGTGGTGGATGCTCATCTTACAAGCCTTACAGCGCAGCCCGTGCTTAGCGTTTGTCCCTGTGAAGTGCACAGAAATGATTTAATTAGACAAAATCAATAGTTTCCATGCATTTAACAAATGACCTGAAAGAACTGATGGGGAGGTCAGTTGCAGGAGAGTAAATACTGACAGCATTCTTTGCCTTGCCTACTTTTTTTATATGCATTTGTACATGCATTTTCTTCACAGCCACTCCATTTTAGGCATTTCTCCCCCAGGCTCTTTCCTAGGCTATTGCTGCCTTTAGATACATTTTGGATTATGCTCTGTTGTATGATAGTCTTACCAGTGATGTCTCTGCCTCATGGGCATCAAGCAAAATCTCTTTGCTATTTTGAAAGGGCTTGGCACAAGAGCTGTGCATGGCTGAGGGAATCACTGAAGGAGCACTCAGGCTCTGGAGCTGCCCTGGTGAGCCAGGCCATCAGTGGAGGGCCAGGTTTTGTGGGTGAGAAGTAGCTCCAGGGGTGTGTGAGAGATCTAAGCCAGCTCCCTTATCATTGCCCACCCATACACCCAGGCATTGCTGCTCTCACCTCCCTGGACCAGTGCTCAGAGGGTGCAGGAAGAGCTCCTGCGCATCCCTAAGCAGGGCAGTGAGGATGCCATCGATTTGACCTTGCTCTCTTTCACTGGCAGTGAAAAAGTTCAGTGCTGCAGGTATGGGAGCTCCGGGAGAAATTTTGCTTTACAGAAGCAGACTTCTTGCACTCAGGCAACAGTAGTTCTGCATTATCTTCAGTGTGGACTTACTCTTAAATGACAGAGCCAAGTCTGTCTGCTTCCAGGCAGGAACAGTCACTCTTATTCATACACCCATAAGAGTTCCTAAACTACGCACAAGCAGTTAAGCTGCAGCAACTCTTTTATCCCCACAGGACTGTATAAATGGAATGAGTAAACAACATGTCAGTTCATTATCATCTACTGTGAGAGTGAGTAAGAAACAAGGTAGTAAAAAAACCCAAAAAAACTCTTGACATTTTAACTGGCCCTCATTAGTCAGACGTGATAGGAATATTAGTCAGAAGGATCCTGCATCTGAAAGTACTCACGTAGCTCTTAGTTATTTGAGTAGTCAACACGATGTACATGCTGCTGACTTCATTCAGTGAAATGCTATGTCTGAAAGAAGCACTTGAGGGAAGGATTCATCAAGTTGGTGACAAAACCCAAGCCTTGACAGGATTGCTCTCAGGGGAAGAGGTCCCTGAAGTGGCCACTTTCAAGCCAGATAGAGGCAGGTTGGAGGAGCTGGGGGTGGTTGCGGTGAGCTGCACTCAGATGTTTCACTTGTGCGCTTCTTGGAGCACAGGCAACCAAC